CGGAAAAGTCGATATGTCTTTGGTTTTATTTGAAAAGCATCTATGATACTGATGATTTGTCTGGGGTTTGATTTGGTTAAGGTGATATGATTTTTGCTTGGGATTTGATGTGGTTAAGGTGATCCGAGTTAGAGGGAAGTTATGTACCTCACAATTGGTATGTGTCTCACTGAGATTTTGCATAATGTTTGCATCCTTTCGTATTACTGCCGAACCTTAAACACTTGAACCACCTAAAACTGCCTTTACACCTAGACCATAACGTGTTCGATACTCCCTTTGTGAGAGTGCACGAAACTGCTAACGAATGTTAAAAGGTTAAGTTATTTGATTATGAAGTTCTTTGTGCTTTAGGGATCTCATGATGTCATGGTGAAGTACATTATTGTACGGTTTGATATAAACTTTGTGATAGTGGTTTGCAGGCAATTGATTAAGAGCATGATCCCATACGAATATGTGAGTTCTCATGTTTTCAAACCTCTTCACTGGGTTAAGATTTTTGTTTTGCTTGAGGACAAGCAAGAATCTAAGTCGTGGGGAGTTGATATACTGTGTTTTTATCGGTTTTAAGTCTTTCTTTTCTCTTTCATTTTAAAAAATTTTATTGAGTCAAAGTGTGTTTTTAGAGTCTTTTAGTCCATTTTTTAGTCTTCACAGGTTTTAGGTTGCTTTGGAATAAAACGAGCCATTTTGGGATGCAAACACACGTTTGGAGATGCAGATTCATGTAGAATTGTCAGATGTTTGGGGTCAGATGAACAACTTTACACCGTTAGATCATTCTCATATTTTGACACAAAATGGATACAGATGTTAGCTTTTATTTCCAAGTGATGTCAACGAAATCTAACGGTGCATTCACGAGGTACACCCGATTTTGTGAAGACAGGTCATTCTGACGAGTTGTTGAAGCTGATGCAGAAGTAAAATCTGGGAGTATTAGACCGATCGGTCTAACATTTGGTTCGATCGGTCCCTTACATCTGACGCATTTTTTGGCCCATATTCGATCCGAAACACTTCAGAACCGACCCAACTCGTCTCTTATTGTTTTTATACCCTAGGCTCGACTTGTTAGGAAGAACCCTCACTTTTCTAAGTTCTAAACATTGTTCTTTGGTTTCTAAATAAATTTTGGGAGAAGAATCCATCCTCTTGTCACTTGGGGAAGATATCTACACCCTTTCTTATTATATTTGCAATTTCATCATGTTTTCTTCACCTATGATTTTTGTTTTCTCTTTTGCTATGTTTGAATAGTCTCTTAATTGGGTTTTAGGGTTCTAAGTAGGAGAATTCAATGATTTGATAGATTGGACGTATTAGGGAATTCTTAATCTTTAGGTTATTCAATTTACATGTTCTCAATGCTTTAATAGGATTGATCACCCTGTTTTAGAACTTAGGCTTTTATGTGTTTCAGAGATGTTCGATAAAATGCATGAATGAATGTAAATTGAGAATTGTATTTCTAACCTGCGAGAGTTGATTTTAGAATGTTTTGTGAACCAAATGAACCTGTTTGATAATGCGAATTTGGCTAGGAAATTACATATGAGAGTTTAGTAATTGAATAGTTGAATTTAGTGATTAATGTCTTGAGAGATAATTAGTCTAAATTTCTGTTCATGTTCAAGAACGGTTCTTCAAGTTTGAGTTCCTTATTGCTTTTATTTTTATTCATTGATTCTCTGAAATTACCCTGCAGCCCAATGTCTTTAATTCATAAGTTTTAATCTTTCTTTTATACCCTTTCCGCTTTAGCTAAGAACGAGTCTCGCAAGTCTTTAGTGTACCATTGCTCCTTGTGATCGATCCCGCAGATACTTTACTTCGGTTAAGTTATCGGGTTAAATACTCGAGTAATCAGTGTGCGACAAGCTCTGATCTTGTACCTATAGGCAACAACGCTCTCTCTTCATCTACTAATATTGTTATTTCAGATACTCAAGTTGCAAGTGAAACTGACACACCAAGAAGACAACAAAGCTCTACTCATCCAATGTTAACAATATCAAAGGCTGGTATCTCCAAGCCAAATCAATATATGCTCTTCTAGCTCATAAAGTTACTTATCCAATACCAACTACAGTTACTGAAGCTCTGAAAGATCCAAACTAGAAAACATCAATGAATGAGGAAACGGACACATGTAGGGAAACAAACACCTTTTCTCTGGTACCTCATTCACCTGATATGCATGTTTTAGGCTTTAAATGGGTATTGAGAATAAAACTTTATGGTGATTGAACCTTGGATAAATATAGAGCTAGACTTGTTGCTCAGGGATTCAAACATGAATAAGGCATAGATTATCTTGAAACCTACAGTCCAGTGGTGAGAACAGCAACATGTAGAACAATTTTACATCTTGCTACCATGTTCAACTAGGAAATAAGGAAAAAGAATATAGAAATATTAGAAATATAAATTTATCGAAAATAATATATGAAACTTGCAATCTTAATATATAACATTGGATATAAATACTAACCCTCAATCAGTTATATTTCTTACGCCAAATAAAGGTAAATTTGCGAATATTAGTTGTAACAATGACGAGTCGTGACTTTTAAAAATATAGATTTTCTTCTTTGTGTTTTACATGAAATAGTAAATAAAGTAAAACCCTAAATCATGAATGCCTCTTAAATTATAATAAGTACTTTTTATTAGATAAATGATGTGAAGAAAGCGTTGTTAGGGCAAGAAACTACATACAAGACGCTAAACCGAGAGCACAAACAGATCAATGGTTTGTTCAGAAAATCAATAATCAAGAAGCTAATAGATGATTGCAACTAAACCCGAGAATTTTTGGAAGAGTACAAGATGGAGAAGAAAAGGAAGAGAATGCAAGAGACTAGTAAATATGTTGCATCGAGGTAATCCAAATTGTAGATCTGGAAGAAATGGTAGAGAATTTACGTAATGAGGTATATATGAAAAAGGAGTTATAAAGCTTAATGGATAAGTAACCGACCATTAAATATATTGCATCGAGGGAATCCAGATTGTAGATCTGGAATAAACGGTAGAGAAAATATGTAATGAGTACCGATGAAAAAAAAGGAGATATAGAGCTTGATGGATAAGTAACTGGACAAGTGTTACAGAGAAAGAAGGAGAATTGATTGAGAATAAAAGCTAAGCATTTAGAAGAACGTCAAGCAATGCTCAAGGAAAAGTTTGGAATGACAAATGAAACATATCGAGGTGTCGTCAAAGAGATTAGAGAGAGTGAATTCAACAATACTAAACTGTTCTAATCTCTAATGTGGCGAAGATGCTTTAGACGGTGAAGAAGTGTGTGATAAAGATGAAGAAGGAGAAAGAAGAGGTGGAGAAGAAGCTTATAGATCAAATAAGATAAAAAGAAATAGACAATGAGAAGTTGAAAGGAGACATTGTTGGGATTAGGATAAGAAAAACGAGGAGTGATTAGACAGTTGGGTGTATGGATCAAAAACCATATAGACCATTGTGAGTATCTTGAAGATGTTTTGTTCAAAATGGTTATGGCATGAGGACAAAGACGACTACAACGAACAATTCAAGTAACTGGGGTTTTTTTCATTATCTGTATACGATTTTTATTTATTTTTATCAAAAATAATTTTGTAGAAAGGATAAATAGTACTTAAATATTAATTAAATAATTTTTTTCTTTGAAAGAATAAAAAATAAAACATTATAGTACTGTTACATATTATATGATATTATATACATACTTGAAAAATCGATGTAAATATATCCGCGTTAACCTAGTTGAACAATAAAATTCAATAGGATTTAATTTGGGCATAACCGAAAAGAAGAACAAGAAAAATACAGAACTGTTTCACCCATATACCCAGGCCATAACTAAGTGTGAAAAAGTGAAACTAGAAGCATCATATGTGATTATGGTGAACAGCTCCCACAAACAATGATTCCACAACACAGCTCTCTCTGCAACACTCAAATTTAAGACTGACGATTTTGCATGTTCGACATCCATATGTTGGCCATGCTCGATCTCTCTGCAACACATGAGACATCAACGAACAACTCTGATGCAGCACTATGGACCTCTCGATATGTTTTACACAATTAATCTGCACGAAACTACGTTTAATGGGACTCAAACCCAAGATCTAGTGTAGAGTATTACTATACCTTGGTTATATACTTGACCAATAGACTTCCACATTAAAACTACAACACGAGTTCCACATTAATTTTGTTTGATATAGAATTTTTGTATATATTTATATTTAAAATTTAGATTTTTTATTATATGTTTATTAAAGTTAGATATCAAATCTTATATGTTTATTTTGATTGGATATTCATTTTATTGAAATTACTAATGTATTTTCGTTTTTAAGTAATTAAATTGAATAAATTAGTTATTGATTTTTTTTACCTTATTAGTTTAGTCTCTGAAACCTATTATAATAGCAATTTGATGTAATCATTTACACATTTTGAGGTTATATTCAAAATTTACTTCCAAAATATATACAAAAGAGGGGATTCTAAAGCCAAAACTGTTTAAATATTTAGGAAATATATCATTCTCTTTAAATATTTAATTTTTCTCTTAAAATATTTAGGAAATATATCTTTAAAGCTATTCTTTTGGTTGAATTCTAATAAGTAAATGGAAAAGGAAGAATTAATTAAATCTTAGATAAAATCTTGTTAAAAGATGATATGAGATTTTCTTTAATTAATTTTGGAAAAAAAGAATAGATTTCATGGAGTGGTGTTAAGCATATCTGGTCTCTTACACAACATATCTTTTAATAAATAAAAAGATTTTTTAACATAAATAACTCTATTGACCACAACAATCTTAGGCAAAACTTATTGTGTCTATGGAAAAATTATGATCATAACTTTAATATGGACACAAGAAATTATTGACCTCATATTTTATTTTAAAATTTGTAAATTAATTTAGAGACTTTATCCCACTTATATATATATAGATGAACTAAATAACCCAATAACATACAATTCTAATAGAGAATTTTTTTGGAAGAAAACTAGAAGACGTGTTAGTATGAAGAAGACAACTTCACTTGTATTTCTTGTTAGCTTACTTATCATATTTGCCTCAGGTATTGTATATCTTTCATAACTTTTACATACCCTTCAATTGGTAATGTTCTTTTATTCATTCATTTTTTTTTTTTGTTTACGGTTTCAATTGTTCAAAATCTTCTCATTACTATTATCTTAATTTACTTGTACTTTATCTTGGATAACTCGTGCTACCGCGCGTATAACCTTTTAATGGGTATTTCAGCTTTAATAGTATAGATTGTACAAATAATCTATTACTAATCTATGTAATGTTTCAGTTTTGAATCAGGTAAAAGCAGAAACATGCGACGACAACCTAGGTCTTTGTAAGAATTGCGACCAAAGGTGTAAGGCCAAACACGGGCCATCGAGTGTAAGCAAATGTAACGGTCCGGAGGGGACGTGCATGTGCACCCACGAATGTGCACCAGCGCCAAAACTTTTCCCAGCCAAAGTGTGCGTTGGTGCGATTGATATGTGCACTGATACTTGTCCTCTGAGTTGTTGTGATAGACTATGCGCAATAAAATACAAAAATGGACGTGGGGGTTGTGTCAACTATGTTGGTTATAGGATGTGTATATGCGAGTACTCTTGCTAAAACATATTGACAAATTTCGTAAACAAATAATATGGTGATATCTATTAATTTAGATTAATTTCGATTCGATATAGACATTATCTTGTTTGAATGTGTTGGTTCAAGTAGTCCAATGTGTTACTCTGTTTAAAAAATAAAATGAAAATGATAAGAATGAGGTCTATAGACTTTGTGAAATCCTACGAAATTTCCTACAAGAAGACACAGCCACTCGACAAGTGACTTCGGAGGCGTTCAAAGAGCTCTTAGTTGCAAACACAAACTACATAGAGATTCAATATACTCAAAAATTATACCTATGGTCCTTAACTTTAGTGCCTCTTTAACCGCAACCATTCGACATTTGAGACTAAAGAGGAATGTCGTTTCAGGCAGTAATGATCTAAGTAGGCGAAACCCGCATAAACAAGTACGCAGATCTTGTTCCGGCGGTATAAGTCCAAGTGCTTAGTTTGTGGGTATACATCATGAAAATGTTGTCATCACATATTAATTTATCATTATCAAGGGATTGAGTTATGTTCCTAATTATCAAATGAATGTTAAGATAGCTAAAACAAACTGCACTTGAGGATCTAACCACACCACAACACAAGCCCTTATGTGTTTCTATCTCTACTCCATCTAAGGCCTGAGAAAGATGAATTAAATACAAACATACATTGTCTTACAAAAGATATCTCTGTTCTTTCATTCATCAGTAGAAGAATGTGTTTGGTTGGGTAATCTCCGGCCATTCACAAAGCTACTGAACAAATGTAGAGCTCGAGAGGGCTGCGCATAGGGCACCATATGAGCCGCTCCTCTCACTGTTGCAAACGTCAGTAGCTTTCCATACTCGATGGCCCAGCCTCCAACCTAGTCATATTGACAAGTTTGGAATCAGTTTGAGAAATTTTTGTAAGAAGCAAACTGGCTTTGGCTAGTTTAAGAATTGGTTAACGGTACCTGTTTTTTGTGGAACCAGGCTCCATAGGGAACAGTGGTCTTGAAGTTGAGATCTTGAGCAAGTTCTCTTACGAGAGTTCTTGAACCAAGGAATGGAACAACAGAATCTTGATCTCCACTGAAATATCCACAAGCTGGGTGTTAAAGCTACAAAAGACAGGAGAAGAAAGAGATAAAATCCTAAAAGAGGTTCTGTTATGTTAATAATTTTATTACCTGAAGATCCAAACAGGAATTTTATTATGTATAATTCTCTTTAGAATCGGAAGCATGTCAATGTTCCCATCGGTGTCAGAGTAGTTTAACAAGCTGACAGGTAAAGTAAATAGCCAATAGCAATAGTTAAAGATAACATATCAGTTCTAGTTATAAAGATCAATGAAACTAAGAGAGGGTAAGCTAATTTACCTGCTGCACATTGACCAATCATAAGGTAGGTGAGTACGGTTCGCGTGAAGCGCTATCTGTACCTCTGGAAGGTTAAAATAGAACCTTCTTTCGTAGCTCATACAAACATCCACTCCCAAGCTCATCTTAGTTGCCTGAAACCATTTTAGAAGAATTTGATAGACCATTCAACAAAAGTTTTTTTGGTAGAAGAAAAGGTGAAAAAGCGCTGACCATTTTCTTTAGCTTCAGCTCTTGCTGGACGATAGAAGGATAGCATACATCGAGGAGAACATCATAGTTGTTGACGTATTCAGTGATGATGGTTTCGGTTTCACTGATAGCCTTATTGCAGGCTGTGCTTACGTTATGGGGGCTGGCAAATGTGTAATCATCAAAGTCACATTGGCTTGTGATTATGAGTTTGAGTTCATCAGAGATCATTCCATGAGACCAGAAGAACTCGTATGTAGCTGGACTGTCCTTGTCAAGCCTCAGAAGTGGATTGCCAATCTGATAAAAAAGAAAGAATTCAGAAGATAACCAAAACAGCTGATGGAACGTCAAGAAGGTTCTTTAGCTTACAGCAACGCCTTTGATGTTGAATTTGAACCCACTGGAGCGTGAATTGTAGCTGAGAATTGCATCAGCCAATTGAGGTATGTAATGTCCTGTAAAAAATATACTTATATGAGTATAGTGTCATAGTGATGTCTTTAAGGTAAACATTCGATATATTTCATAGATATCGAAGACACACCTGCATAGCTTTCGCCAGTGAGAAAGAGGTCACGAGACTTCAACTTTGGGAACTTGTCAAACCATCTCAACAAGAACATGACCATATCGCTAGCTGATCAAATACAAAACATGTCAAGAAACAACAGTCTTCTAATATAGTTTGAAAAGGAGATTATAAAATGTACCAGTAGTTTTGTCCCCGGTGTTGTAGTCAGTGCTTCGGTTGGAGTAAGACCATCCCACTCCAGCCGGTGACTCCACAAACAGCAAGTTCGAGGCTACACATATTACAAAAAGAGACAATAGCATCAGATATAGAATCACAGAGTTCTCTGGTCTTTGCATAAGATTGTCAAAAACAAACCTTTGTTCCAAGACATGGAGTTGACGCGGAGACCACGACCATCACCTGTGGGATAAAATGGACCTAACTCAGTGAAAGCTCCTCCACCAATTGAAGAACAACCTGGACCTGCAATAAAAACCTCAAATATGAAATTTGAATTCACACATTCTCTTAAACATATGAATTATACAGAAACTGAGCAGCAAAACACAGACCTCCATTGAGCCAAAGCGTTAATGGTTTAGTATCAGGTTGTTTCACAGCCTCTACATAGTAATAGAAGAGACTCCGACCAGCTTTCACATCTACATCAACATAACCTGCATATTGTCTGAACCCAACTTTTGGTTGACCTGGCAGCCTCACCACAAAATCTTCTTCCGGGTACCCTTCTGCAAACCACTGAACTATCAACACCATCGCCACAGCAACGACCTGCCACGACAACACACTTGCCATCTTCTACTGCTTTTCTAAGTACCTGAAAAAATATTCTCATTACTATGTAAAATGAATCCACAACACATTCATAAACAAATAGGTAAAAGATATACACTATGAATGTTCAAAGGCCAAAGAAAGAATAATCAAAACAAGAGAGATCTACATAACATCAATACAAAAACATATCAAATTTGGAACTAAAAGATCTTCACAATCTGGAATCAAAATTTAATTTTGGCAACTAAAAATTACTACTTTGGTCGAATCAATGGGACAAGAGAACAATTTATGTTATATAATACCAAACAGTATAGATTCTTGATGTGTCTAGCAGTAAGATCTAAGTAACAAAAACACTTCAAGATTAGCTAATTGAGTATAAGAACTCAAAGCCATTAGAGAAGCAACATTGAAATGACTCTGGAAAACAAAATCACAGGTAAAGCATGAATTTTTGAGATACCCATTAAACAAGAATCCACTTTCGTATACGTTCCAAACAACAAGAAGGAGAAAAAATTTATCTGTTTTGCTTAATTATGACTGAGAAATAAGAGAAAGAATATACCTTAAATTATGAATTTTGTGAAGTATACCAACAAAAACAGTAGATTACAGCGACATTTATGTGACGATCCTGGTCTTATCTTCTTCAATTGAACATTGGGAGTGACAACAACAAGTGAAGGTGTTTGAAAAGTTTGGACAAAGTCGCTTTAGTTTCTTCTTGGTTAACTCCGGTTAGGTTCACTTGTCTAATGTTTTTATTTACCAATTTTTCTTTTGTGGTATGTTTGTGGTCAAAGTTTTTGGTATGTTTGGTTCACTTGTCTAATGTTTCTTTACCAATTTTTCTATGATTCTTTACCAATTTTTATATGTACCAGTCCCTATGTAATATAGCGATTCAACTAGGTTCCCCATGTACTTTCAGCCTCTATTCAATGTCACATATACTCTTATATTCAACTCAATTCCACCCGGACTATATAATTTTACCCAGCTAACAAAAATCAATAAACCTTCTCATTTTAAAATCGATAATTAGCGTACATTATACCGGTATTTGATTTATACGATTTGAAATATAAGATCCGACCTCATCTTTTGAACTTGAAATGAATCCTCACTTTTAGCGCTCATCAAAACCCAATCAATTTGGGAAAAATAAAAAACAAAACTAAGGATTTGAAAACGGGAATTGAGAAGCTTAATTTATTTTGGTTAATTAGATATAATTATATAGTTTGAGTGAGATTGGGTAGAATATAAATCATTTAGATGGAATTTGGTAAAATATAAATAGTACATATGTGAAATTGGATAGAGACTGAAAGTATAGGGGGAACCTAGTTGAAACGCTATATTACAGGAGGATAAGTATAGGCAGCCAATGTTTTTACCAAATTTATAATAATTACTTTAACTTTAAGAATGATTTTTATTTAAAACATATTCTATACTTATTTTGCAACAACAAAATAAAAAGAGATTGTTATACAAACAAACTTTCATTTGGTAGAATATCTGTTATTGATCTCAGTAAAAATAATAATGATGATTAAACTAATTGAAAAAGAAATTAAAATCTTAAGAGGGATAAAATATGTTCACAACAAGAAAAGGTTTGAAAATATTATACAATAGATAAATATTATTTGTTTATTGAATTACAATTGAGAAAAATAAAACAAAAAGAATTTGAGATATTCAACTCATATTACACAAAAGTACATTCAAATATTATTTTCTCTAGAAAGAAACAAATTTTCTTTTTATTTCTAGAGATTATTATTCAGTGAGACAACAACAATGTGTCGGAGTACATTCACCATAATATGTCAAACTCATTTTTCTACAAAACGCCATGCAGCCTTGAGTCTCTGCTTTGACACATGGTGCTCTGCTGAAGCAACTTTTCGAGTTTTGCTCGTCTCCAATACCTATTTAATTCAATGATTTAACAAATCGTTATAATCATACAAAGTATAAAAATGGTTCTTAACTAGAAAAAATGTTTGAAAGGATAATAAGTTCATACCAAGAGTTTTATCAGAGCAATGAACATAAGGTGTGACAAAAAGAATAGTGAGAAGAAATAAGACAAGAAAGTTTTTGGTGAGAGCCATGATAACTTTGTAAGAGAGTTTTGTTTTTGTTTTGTTTATAAGTTTTTGGTGAGAGCCAATGGCAGATATATATACATAGAAATAGCCAGCTAAGAATCTTAACTTGCATGTTCAAAACCAAAAATAATAAAGACACAAGATATTATATGAACAAATATGTAAACAGATCAGGGAGACAATAATATCTCCCAAATCTCAATACTTTTTTTAATTACATAAAAATATGTAAAGAAGAAAAGAAACACAATTATGTAATCATCAAGGTACCTATCCCAATTATGTAAACAATTATTGAGGAAACACAATCATGTAAACAAATCAAGATAGCCCAATACTCTCTGTATATATTTTTTGGTCTATGGTATCCCAATAAGCCAGAGAAAAATATTGAGGAAAATAAAGAAAGCATATTTTTGGTAATAGATGAAAAATAAAAGAATCTTAAATTCAGTTTCTTATGTATATATATAGTGAATGTGTTGATTTTGTCCAGGATTATGTATTATCTTTCTTAATTATTTTGAGGTGAGGTGACAACAACTAAAGATATGTTTTGAAAAAGTTTGGACAAATAACTAATTTGTTTTCTTTCATAAAAAACAAAAATAAATAACAAATAAATAAACAGGGTGGATAAGGAGAAGTCTTATTTTTCCATGTAAACATTTAGGTTTTAGAATGGTTGGCTCTCAAGGCCAACCTATTCGAACTGTACTAATAAAGTATTGGACTTTTGTGTAAAAGACAAAATCATAAAAAAGGATAAAAAAAAAAAAAAAAAAAAAAAACGAAATAAGAGTTTCATAAAATACGAAATAAGAGTTATCCTCTCTCTCTCTGCTTCATTTCGCTGTTGATAATCGAATGGATTCTTGATCAACGGTGGTTTCTTCTTCATCCCAAATAACAAGCAAAGTCGGAAGATGTAGAGTACTCACGCCTCAAGGTTTTTTTCATCTCCGCCGCATAGATCCGTTGTGTTATCTTTTTTCTCTCGCTTCTGTAGCCATGGATTCTCTCTTTGAACTTGTAAACTTCCACATCCTGTGACCCAACCAATCTCTCTCGCTGGGATGAGCTTTCCTAAGCTAGACCCCCAGTGACGAATGGAAAGGAAATAATATCACTCTCACAGATGTTATTCCGTCATTGTTTATCCGCCATTGTTGGCGAGCTCTATAACACTTCCATCTCCACATAGCTCTCTGAACCAAAGAGTGTGAAGTTTCTTGAGTGGCTCCTCATTCCAGTAGTGATTGTACGGACGATGGCGAATTTAAAAAACCGGATCTCCCACAACAGATCTGAGCACCTCTCCACCTCCTCTTCTCACCCATTCTACTTGTTTTCTTGGATCTGTACTTAGTTGGTGTAGATCTATACTTGTTTGAGTTTTCCAGTACTGATTCGGAGTCAAGGTTACTACTCTGCAATTATAACGACTTCATTTAGTCTATTTCTTCTAGCTTTTGCTAAGATCTGCCTGATTTTGGACTCTTTGTCTCTCCTTTTGAGTGAAGATCTTCTTAACTGGACAAGGTCTCCCGAGTAATCGGAGAAATAGACGCCATTACCGAATTTGGGTGAAGCGAAAACAAAATTAACCCGAAAAAAGAAAAAAAAAATCTACATGATTAAATTAATCGGTTATTCCCTCTCATTGAGGTGTTTTTTTGTGTCAACGTACGATAAGTTTCTACCCGTCGTCTTCTCACGACTTTTCTGAGATTCGTTCTACTTCTGAGGGACTTGTTTCCCTCGGAGACGTCCAATGAAGATTCTTGCTTGGAACTGTCAAGGGGCGGGTGCAAAACTAACCAAACGCCGACTGGAAGAATTATGTCGAAAATATTCTCCAGGTTTTTTCTTTCTTTCGGAAACAAAAAACGATCGGTTATTTTTAGAAGATTTGCAACTCAAATTAGGGTTTGATTATCTTCACACTGTAGACCCCTCTGGCTATAGTGGTGGACTTGCTCTTATGTATTTCCGAGACTATCCGGTTCAACTCTTATTTGTTAGTGACCGTGTTTTAGACGTTGAAACAATTATTGATGGCAATCGTGTTTTTCTAACCTTCGTTTATGGCGATCCGGTTGTTAAAAACCGTGAAGAAGTTTGGGAGAGACTCACACGTATTGGGCTCACTCGTTCTGATCCTTGGTTCATGGTTGGAGACTTTAACGAAATAATTGGCAATCATGAAAAAATAGGAGGAAAGAAACGATCTTAATCCTCCTTCCTACCCCCTTTCGGGCAATGATTGATAATTGTGGCATGCTTGAATTTCCTTTCCAAGGAAATTCTCTCTCCTGGGCAGAACGACGAAAGTGTGGTCTTATCTGATCACGTCTCGACCGGGCCCTAGGAAATGAAGAATGGCATAATATTTTTTTCCCACACAAATGTGGAGTATCTAAAGATGTGGGGCTCTGACCATCGGCCTGTTTTGGCCTCAATCAGCAATAGTCCCCCAAAGTTCATTAAAAGGTTTATGTTTGACAAACGATGGATTGGCAAGCCGGGGTTCAAGGAATCTGTTAAGGCTGGTTGGTCTTTCCCTATGCGTCCCATAGGCGGAGTTTTCCCACGCAAGATTCGGAATTGTAGATCTTCGATATCAAAGTGGAGAAAATCAAATATTACTAATTCTTAGAAAATTATCCTTGATCTCCAAAATCAGATTGATGCAGCAAATGAGAATGCAAACCTCTCATCGGATGCCGTACTAGCTCTGAAATGGAAACTCTGTGACGCCTACCGAGAGGAGGAACTTTATTGGAAATTGAAAAGCAAAGAAACGTGGTTGCAAGCTGGCGATAGGAACACCAAATTCTTCCACGCCACCACTAAGCAAAGGAAAGCGAGAAATATGATTATTGGGCTATTTGACAAGGATAACAACTGGATTTCCAAAGAGAGAGACATTGACTCTCTTGCGGTGGATTATTTTAAAACTCTCTTTGCATCATCCACCCCTAACGATGTCCAAAAAGCGATCCAGGATGTCCCTGTGAGCATCTCAGAGGATATGAATCATCGACTCCTAGCTATTGTTTCTCTCGAAGAGGGTAAAAGAGCTCTTTTCTCGCTAAATCCGGATAAGACTCCAGGCCCTGATGGGATGACTGCCCTTTTCTACCAAAAATTCTGGGATATCATAGTGATGATATGGTTAAGATGGTCCAAGACTTCTTTACCTCTAGAAATTTTGACAGATCCCTTAATGAGACGAATATCTGCTTGATCCCCAAGACGGACCGGCCACGGTCTATGACCGAATTTCGGCCAATTAGCTTATGTAATGTAAGCTATAAGGTTATCTCCAAAGTCCTTAGCATCTGGCTAAAGAGATTACTTCCAGACCTTATATCCGAGACCCAATCTGCCTTTGTGGCAGGGCGGCTTATTACGGACAATATCCTTAGTGCCCAGGAAAATTTTCATGCTCTCCGCACTAATTCATCGTGTCGGAAGAACTTCATGGCCATCAAAACCGATATGAGTAAAGCTTATGATCGTGTGGAATGGCCCTTCTTGAGAGCTT